CATAACAGCCATTGAAAATGCAGTGGCCTTTGGTACATTCCAGGCACCGCATGCCCACCGCGTCTGTCCAGGTCCATAACATTCTCATTAGTCCCAAAGAAAATCACAGTTACTCCCCTTCTCTCTTCTTCCCCAGCCTCCTGGCAGCCACACATCTGTTTTAAGTCTTTGTGGATTTACCTGCCCAGGATATTTTATATTAATTGAGCCTTGCAGTATGTGACCTTTGTGTCTGGCATTGTTTTTTAGATTCATCTTTATCGTGAGTTAGCATTACATGAAGTCTCTATTAACAATTATTCCAAATCCTCACAGGCATCTCTCCACTTCTATCCCCATCAAAGACTGTGTTGATCTCTCCTCAACACCCTAAAAACTGTTTCCTTGGCCTCTCACTTTCTGCAAGAAAGAGATTGGACCAGATTCATCATCTCCTAAGTGAGCTATAGGAGACTCTTATGGGGTTTCTCAAATGCTCATTCATGGGTTACCTAACGATGGCTTCTAAATAAGAGTTTTTGGGATGGGGCAGGTGCTTCTGATCTTCTGCCAGTGGACCTCTAGGTCTCTCTTTTTCAACCAGGTGAGTTCTGGAGTCCTGATCCTGAGTCAGGTGGTGTTTTGATCACAGTCTGGGTGACTTCTGGGGTTTGATCCTACTGAGTGACCTCTGGAGGTCTGATCCTGGATGGGTGACCTCCAGGGCGTTCATCCTAGACCAGGTGGCTTCTGGGGCTCTTTTAACCCCTTACCTGTGAGCCTAGCACAAGTCTGACAGGCCTACCTGATTTAGTTTGTCATCTAAGATGCAGTTTTATATTCATCCCTGTGGCATGCATTTTTCCACCCCTGCCTTCCCAGCAGAGGTGCTCAGGCCCCTCCCTGCTGTCTTTCTTTTACAGTCCCAATTAATTGTGTCTCATTTATCATGCTCCAGCAATGGCCTGTGAGCCAGAGACAAGAGAAGGAAGGTTGTTCACACCCTGGGGTTATGACTATGACTGACTACATATCAAGGTTATATTCCTGGAAAAGCCATACTCCCACCTCCTCCCACCCCCTGGCAGGCTAGTGTCTCCTCCACCAGTGTGTGGAACTAAGTGGGAGAAAGGCTGGTGGAACCAATTTGCAAGCAATACTGCAGCTACCCTAGAGGGCTGGTGCTAGGGAGAGCTGGCTACAGAGGAGGGCAAAGGACACAAACAAACTAGAACACCTCCCCACCCCCGCTAAGGGGATCCAGCCTTGGGAATCTGGGCGTTCTTGATGTTGGGGGCTGTTGGTTTCTTGGTCACAGTCAATGGAGGATGGCAAGACAGTCCTTTGGGTACTGCTTCCTGCCTTATCCCTGGCGTGGAGAGGAGGAAAATAGACTGGATGTCTTGACCTTAATAAAATTTACAGCTTGCTGACCTCGCTCTCCTGGCTCCCTTGTCCTTGGGGTGCATTGATTCCTGCTGCTGATGCTGGGTCTGTGCCTTCGGGGGATGGGCACCTGGGCTGCCTTGTAGATCAGTGGTGACTCACTAGGGAGTTATTCTCATGACTGGATATGCTTGACATCTCTGCCAAGGCAAGGAGCGGAACTGTATGTGTGAGTGCCTGGTGACCCTTGGACAAGCCTTTGCTTGCCAGAGAGCTTTCTCTTTCCTTATGATGGGTTGCCCTTTTTCAGTCTGCTCTTAGGAATAAAGGGGACGTCAGAGAGAAAAGGCTTGAAAAGAAAAGAAAAGAAGTGCTCCATCAAGCTTGCCCTCCAGAGGCTTTCTTTATAAGAACACCCTGGAATATTTTGATGCCTCTCTTTTGTGTCCATTTCATCCCTCATCCCCCAGGATCAGATAACAAAACCTCCGCCCTCTGCTACAAAGCCCCTGGCACGTGTTGGCAGACCTCTTCTCCATTCTGATCCTTACCACTTTGTAGCCTGTTCAAAGTGTCCTCTGATTATTAACCTGCCAGAGGGATGGCTTTGCCTGAGACTTTGAGGATGGCCAGGCTGGATATGGGAAGGTCTTCTCATCTCAGACCTTGTGTGAACTTCGGGTGATGCTCCTAGGTTCCTCTTTTCCTAGTGCCATTTACTTAGTTCTTTCTTTGCTCCCTTCTGGTTCCTAGGGGAGAAGATTTTTAGCTCAAGAACCTGAGATGCCTGTGCTGGTGGGTCTCTGATCCATCAGTATTTCCAGTTGCTTCCTGGAAGCACAGGTTGGAAGGGAGGAGAAGGGAAGAGGAAGTTAGAGGAAGGTTTGAGCTGTTGGGGAGAGTCCCTTAGCAGCTTTTTGAGTTAAATAATTTATTTCTAGTTTTTGATTTGCTCGTTTCTGTTGATACTTGCCTGGACTTATCTACTGGGAGTAAGAAGTGGAGTTTTGGAATGACATCTTTTTCTAAAAAAAATCAAGGGTCTTTTTTATTTGAAGTCATCTCACTTCAGATATATATATATATATAAAGCAGAGCCCTTATGGATTAGTTCCTCTGTGGAGCTGGCTGCCAAGTTTGTGGCCCAGGTGTTTTTCTTCTCTCTTGTGACATCTGAGAGCACCCCCAAGGAGTGGGTGGGACACATCAGGGTGGAGGAGGAAGAGGGAGGGGCCTTGAAGGGAGCGGGGTTTCTGCCTCAGATCTGCTGCTAGAAGGGTGGATTTGTTCAACTTGAACTCTTCATTAGTCCAAAAGTTGGTGTTGGCCAGGTAGGGTGAGCTCTCCAGGCCCAGAGACAGGTGCTGAGTCCTTCAAGCTGGACCTCCCAGCCTGTGGGCCTGAGATGGTTCTTGAGAAGGTCTTTGGATAGCCAGCCAACTAAGCTGATTCCAGACACTACTCAGCAGGAGCCGGGACACCTCTGGGTTTGGGGAGCCTCATCCTGCTTCTCAGTGAGGCAACTGGAGCTTGTTGGTGTCCCCACAGATTGAGTAACTTGTAAAGCTCCAGTGTTCTGAAAAGTCAGTCTTGGGACTGATGCCTTAGTGCAGGGTGCACTAAGAAGAGAACACACACATTCAGAGTGGTTCAGCCAGAGGCCTAACAATGAAAAGAGAAAAACAGTCAGGCAGCTAGTTTTTTCATGAGGCAAAAGTGACCTAAAAGAATGGCTCTTTACTCTGATTTTATATCCTTCCTTGGCTTTAACAAATAAACCCTGACGTCTTAGTCATGTCAATCTACCTCTCAATTCTGAGAAGTTCAAAGTGAGTGTTCCTTATCAGCAGCAGACCCACCACCTATCAGGAACACAGACACTTTCTATCTGGTTCCTCTGTTTGCCTCTAGGGTATTGGGATCTGAGTTGGCACTGCCTGTTAATGGGGAAACAAAATAGGACTGTGTGTGGTCTGGGCTGGATCGGTCCCTAGGATGTCTCCAAGAACCTCTGTCTGGAGTGCTGTACCGGGGATAAACCTTGCTGTCTCAGTCAGGGCAAAAGTCTATGGTATCTTCAAGAAGCAGACAGAGAATAGCTGGTCAAGCTGTGACATGGTGGCTTATCTATATCATCACCATGCAAAACAGAAATGGCCACTCAGACCTCAGTTGGCCTATATTCTGTTTTTATTTTACTGGTTTGCAAAACTAAAAGGTTGGGAGCTACTGTTGCAGTTCCATTTATAACTGAAAAACATTTCCTTATTCGAGACACTTAAAAAATATACTTAAAGGTCAGGTGACACATTCAGCTATTTCAGCACTGAGGCTGGGGCAGGAGGATAATGATCACTAGGCTGCTTAATGAGACCCAGCCTCAAAAAACCCCAAATGGCAACAAAAAGTAGAGGAATTGCGTAAGGAAGCCTTCCTTTCCTTTTTCATTCTTACTTAAAGCTGAGTAATGAAGCCAGCTTCCCGACACACTGGTTTAGAAAGAAGTTCAAAAGGGTGTGGCCTGTGGATTTTAAAAATATTTTAAATAAATTTTAATTGGCACATACTGGTCCATGTTCTCGGGGTGCAGTCTGATGATGTTTCAGCATGTGTGTCATGGTCAGATAAGTGGCAAACCCAGGTCATGGTCAGGGAACTGAGCGGTTCATCACCCCAGACAGTCATTGGTTTCTGTCAAGAGTATTAAAAATCTTCTTTATTGTCAATACAATTAACTGTTGTTGCCAATTATAGTCATCCTACTTTGCTATAGGACATTAGAAGTTATTCCTTCTGCCGGGTGTTTGTGGCACACACCTTTAATCCCAGCACTCGGGAGGCAGAGGCAGGAGGATCTCTGTGAGTTTGAAGACAGTCTGGTCTACAGAGCGAGTGCCAGGATAGGTTCCAAAGCTACACAGAGAAATCCTGTCTCAAAAAACCAAAAACAAACAAAAAACACTCCCCAGAACTAAACGAAACGAAACAAAAGCCCAAAACAAAACAATAAAACAAACAGACAGAAAGAAAAGAAGTTATTCCTTCTGATTGGTGAGATGGCTCAGTGGGTAAAGGTACTTGTGGCCAAGACACATAACCTAAGTTCAATTCCTGGAACCTGAATGGTGAGGGGAAAGGCCTGACTCAAGAAAATTGTTCTGTTCTCTGACCTCCACACATGTTCTGTAGCACACACTCTTGAGGACACACACACACACTATAAATGTAAAAAAAATGTTGTTCTTTTCATCCATCCCCTTTCCACCCCACCACTCCCTGTGGTGATTTTTGTTTGAATGAATGAACAGGAAGTTTCAGTGTTTGGTTTTTAGTCTTACAAGTGCACATCACACATATGGAATAATGTCACCAGGGATGAAATAAAGCAAAGGAATCCCTTGTGCAGTCATATCCCAGGGAGATACATCCACAGTGTAACTGAGTGTAGGAGGGGCTGCTGTTTCTTCTTGGGAAAGGTGCTAATGGGAGAATTTGCAGAGCCGTGAGAAAGACTGCCCTGACCCCATGCTCCACATCTCAGAATCTGAGTGACAGCGGAAGATCAGGAGTCTTGGTTTGGAATGTGTGTGACTGTCACTCACCACAGGTCCTGATTTTCTTTTGGTCTCTTTCAGGTCAGTCTGAATGACTCCCATAATCAGATGGTGGTGCACTGGGCTGGAGAGAAAAGCAACGTGATTGTGGCATTAGCCCGTGACAGCCTAGCATTGGCCAGGCCTAAGAGCAGTGATGTAAGTATCTCCATGGTGCTGGGCCCTCCTGGGTGTCATTGACGTGACCCTTCTGATCCTCCAGGTTGTCATGTCAGAAAAAAAACAAATCGTGGGTAATTAGAGAATGGATGGTATGAACTATATGATAGTGAAGAGATATGGAAAATAATACATGTGAGCTTGCATACTGAACACAGGGCAGAGCCGTCCAAATAGATGTACAACTAAGGATGGCTTTGTGATGTCACAGGTGGTCTGCATTGATAGCTCCAAAACTCACAGGTGGTCTATACTGATTGCTCCACCAAGTGCCAAAGACCACTCCAGGGCAGAGCATCTTGGAGCTGGTCCAGATGGAGTTAAACTGATCTGTTTTTTCCATATGCTAGCAAGGCTTATGAGTTGTTGACAGATTCATTCTCTTTCTCCTTTACTAGTCATTATCCCTTTACCAGCATGCATATTTATGCTCTATCTATATGTCTCTTATATATCTATGTATCTATCAATCATCTATCTTGTATAATCTATCATCTTCTCTTTAACATCCATCCTATCTGTCTGTCATCTATCCATCCATCCATCTGTGTATGTATGGTGTGTGTGTGTGTGTGTGTGTGTGTGTGTGTGTGTGTGTGTGTGTGTGTGTATGTATGTATGTATGTATGTATGTATGTATGTATGTATGTATCTGGTTTTTTGTGTATGTATTTGTATGTTTGTTGTTGTTGTTACAGGGTCTCACTCTCCAGCACACGCCATAGATTCTCTAGCTGTCTCTTGGCTGGCTTTGTACTCTTAACAGTCCTGTAGCCCCAGTCTCTTCAATGCTGGGGTGATGAGCATGAGTTACAAAGTCCACCTGATACAAATTCTCTTATATTCTTAATCTGCACTTTTCTTGTTGATGATATTTTGGTTAGATGCTTTGAAGAACTAAAAACAAAGGCTACAAACCTAGAAGCCTATACAAGACTTCCAGATCCAGGATGGGAGCAAAGCTACCCCCAAGGTTTTTTTTTTTTTTTTTTTTTGTTTTTGTTTTTTCTTGAGACAGGAGATGTGGTGACTGATGCTTGGTCAGTGGTAGAGAGGAACTATGAAGCCACAGAAATACTTCCCAGGGCTGTGATGAACAGGTCATAGGTTCTGGAGGTCATGCAAGTCACTTGGCCAGCACAGTCAGATCTCCTGACTTCAGCAGAAGGTCATAGGTCTTTTGTTTTATTCTGTGGTACTGAGGATGTAACACAAGGCCTGGCACATGCTAGGTAACCTCTCTCTCTTTAAGCTTTTATCCCCAGCCCAGAGGTCCCTTTGTGTAAAGCTGCTAAGACTTACCAGTTGGCAGCTAAAGTGTAGTTCTTATAAGTACCATGTAGGCCAAATAAAAATTTAACATTAGGGGCAGAACTGGTCCTTGGCTCCCGAGTCTACAATCCAGGCATCTCCTTGTGAGCAAAGCAACAGTCCCTCCTTGGTGATGGGTGTCTACCTTATTCATAAGAGTGAGACTGTGGCTAGAACATACTGTATTTCTCCCCTCACCCTGCATTCTGGTTGGAGGATCCCTGTGCACTTGTAAAGGTATACTTGTGATTCATGAATGTACATCTGGTGTCTGAAAGCCTGTGCCCCCTCCCCCATATGTACTGTCTAGGTTGGATGTATTCAGTGTGAGTCTTGGGATGTTTTCTAGAGGAGTTCATTTGGGTAGCCACAGTCAGACAGACTTGAAGAAGGGCTGGCCATCAGTTGCAGAGCTCTGTCTGGGGAGCATTCTGAGCCATGAAGCATGGGATAATGCAGATAATGGCTAGTCTTGATGTTTTGCTCTTCTGCAAGGCTGGACTTGTTTGGGGCAACAACTTAGGCTGCTTTATAAATAAATATGTTCAAGGTTTGTAAGCAGTAGCCGTGGTCACACATGGGTGGCTGTGCATGAATCCCACTGGCCTCGGGATGCCCTGTAGTTAACATGTACTTGATACTAGGAGTCTCGTTCAGACATAGAAGCCAGCTCCATGCTACTTTATGTTGAGGAGTCTTCAGGGTATTTGTGCATAAAAATAATCCCTTTTCCAGTAAAGATTTGTCATTGCAAAATAGGTAAAAATTCTTAAATATTGTTTTATATTTTTGAAGGACATGTAAAAGGGCTTAGGGGCACAAATGAATTCACAACAATCACTTAATATGTCAGTGATGGAGTAGGGGCGTATAATGAAAATGTAGGCCCAATCATGGATTTGACTTAGAATTACCAGAAGGACCCATTTTTCTGTGCCAAGCACTGAAAGTTCACATCTTAGACCCTCTCAGTCTTGAATAAACCAGGAACATTGACCACTCAAGTATTACTGGCCTATCCAACTCAGCTCTCACTTTGTGGAAATGTTGGAGTATGTGCTTTGAAGAGCTTATTGGCCATTTGATGTCATTATCTTGGAATGACGTAGGACAGAAGATTAAATGGAAAGGAAACTTAATGTCCAGAGTTAATAAATAGAGATGGCAGAATTTTCCTCCATCTGTGTACAAACCGCATTAAAGAATTGGCAGCTGAAACTGAAAGATGTTCGGATATGAAAAGTTAGTGCAAAAATAAACTGTGACTCAGAGGCAGAGTCAGTGGCACTGGTGAGGGAACAATTCAGACGTTCCTTAAGGAGGACTGGAAGCCTGGTTCAGAAAACCCCTGTCTCTGAAGGGGAAAAGCTTGCATACAGGTAAGGACCTGTGTGAAGGGCAGAGAATGGCTGAGGTCATGAGTATTCTGTATGTAAACAAGGGTGGACCTGGACACCAGGGATCCCAGATGGCTTGCTCTGGAGCCAAACCAAACCAAATGTCATCAGTAATCACCACTGAGGATCGTCTCCTGTAAAGGCCATCTATCCCTGTCGTGAGTTGACAAACTACAACATAGGCTGTGGCTTGTCTCAACTTTATTTCTGCTTTCTGATGCATTTTAAAAAGTATTTATTCACTATCCAATATGGTGGTACAGGCCTGTGATGCTAGCATTCCAGAGGCTGAGGCAGGGGATTGTGAGTTCAAGTCTAACCTGGGCTACAGAGTGAGTTCTTGTCTCAAAAAAAAAAAAAAAAAAAAAAAACCAACCCAAAACAATCAACTACTAGCAGCAATAATGAAGTATTTAGGTGCAACATAATTGACACAAAATTCTACATAGGAACAATATCCACCAGAGGATCAGAATCCACCAAAATCCACCAAGATGCAGTGAATAATACAACTCATTCTTCTTGTCCCTAGACTAGTGTGATATGATTGGTTCCCTCCTGGGTCAATTAGGTGGCAGACCTGCCATCCTTGCTGATAGTTTGGAGAGGCTCTGACATCCCAATGCTTGGGTTAGAACCCTGGCTCTGCCATTTATAAATAATCTGACTTTGAGCCAAATAATTTGTATTATCTTAGTCCATTTTTTTTTTGGTTACTATAACAAAATGCTTGAGACAAGTAGCTTATAAAGAGAAAAAAATACTTTGATCCACAGCTTTAGAGGTTCTAGTTCATGATTATTGATCCCAACTGATTCAATTCTCTGGTTAGGGTGCTGTGTGTAGCTGAGTTAGGTATAATATAGTGGTTAGTAAAACAATTGCCTGGGTGTACAAGGCTCTGGGTTTGATACCCAGTACTGCAAAACAAACAACCCCCCCCCCCATTCCCAAACTTTGGTACCTGTGCTGGTTAGTTTTCTTGTGAACTTGACATAATCTGGAATCATTTGGAAAGAGGAAAACTCAACTGAGAAAATGCCTCCATCAGATTGGCCTGTAGGCTAGTTTGTGGGTGCATTTTCTTGATTAGTAATTAATGGAAGGGCCTAAAATACTGTAGGTGGTGCCACTCGTGAGGCTGGTGGTCCTGAGTTGTATGAAAGGCAGGCTGAGGAAGCCCTGGGGAGCAAGCCAGGAAGCAGCATTCCTCCATGGCCTCTGCTTCAGTTTCTGCCTCTAGGTTCTTGCCTTGAATTCCTGCTTTGAAACCCCAACACTTACCCTAACTCTTCCTCCCTCAGTTGCTTTTTGCTTGTGTTTTTTTTTTAAAGCAAATGAGAATGGTACCCAAAGTATGGTAGGTAGGTCATCCACATGAGTGTTTTCTGAGAGCTGCTTTGAAATGCAGAGTATCAGGCGCTACCCCAGCTTCTGTTTTAATTTTTAAAATTTATTATTGCTATTGTTGTTATTATTATTATTATCATCATCACAATTATTATTTTTTTCCCATTTCTTTTGCTCTTTTCTTTGGGGCATGCTCTCAGGCTGGCATGGGACTTTCTGTACAGCCCAGGCTATCCTTGAACTCTTTCCTTCTTGCCTTAGCCTCCCTTGTCCTGAGATTATAGTGTGAACTACCATGCCAGGCTTAGACTTCACTCACAAACCGCGTTCGGCCAGTGTCTTGCCTGGGCACTGGCTAAGCCCACTGAGATTACAGCAGTGCTATAAAAGGCTTGGGGCAGTGCCAGAGGAGGGGCTGCCTTCCGACATTTCAGCGTGTCCTCCTCCTGCCCTCCATTTTTATATAATTTTGAATTACATGGATCTTCACTTCAAAGGACTATCTTTATGGGTAAGGAAATGATCTAATTGGGACCTTGGGTCAGTTTAGAACCCTCCCATGTTGGATTTTCTTTGTTGTTGTTGTTGTTCTTTAAGGAATAGTGTCATATTGAGGTCAGAGAGGACTAATTAGTGGAGAAACCTGTGTCTGGAAGAAAACAAACTGCAGGCAGCAGACATCGAGCTCAGGCTGTCTGTTCCTATTCACCTGGCAATGACGGTGGCCAGTGAGTCAGCAGCATCATGCTGCCGTGAGCAACAGACAGCCCCAAATAGAATTTGTAATTGGGGTGCAGTACAGAGAGGGAAGAGCCACCCCCTACCCCTTTAGAATTAACAGAACCCTCAGAGGCCTTTTGTGTGCTGTCACTATGGAGGGATAGCTGTGACCCAGCCCTGAGTGTCGTCTGTGTCTGCCAAAGAGAAGTAAGAAATTACAAGGACAGGATAAAAATAGCTTGTTGGAATTGTTCAACCTGGACAAGGCAAGGCAGGTCGATGAGCGATCTGTGATAGACTTCAGGCTTAGGATGGGTCCTTGTCAACTCCCTCTTAACCTCTATTAAGTTGAAGACCCATGAGACGGTGGGGCTTGTTTGCAGGTGTCACGAGGAAGAGGTTTTTAATGCCACCCGCACTGTGGCAGCCCTGTGGTTGAGAATCTCAGGAAGTCCGTGTATTCTGCCTGCCTAGGACTTTTCTCCCTGCTGGCTAGAACTCCTGACATTAGGTATGGAGAAGGGGGCTGTCTCCATGAGGGTAACTTGCAGAGTGAAAAGACAAGCAGGCTTGGAGACTGGCAAAGCCTGAGCACTTACTACCAGTGTGACCTTGGACTAGTCATTTCCTGCTGTGACTCTTAGCTTTTATTATCTCAAAAGTTACAGCAGATCCTCTGTGTTCGAGAGCACTACTCCACGATTCTACCAATTTTGAACTGAAAAGGTGAGGGCAGAAGGGTGTATCCATTCTGAACATAAGCCGACATTTTTTCTTCCTTGTCATTTTTAAAACAATGCAGTACAAACAGGTATTCATTCACATATGATAAGACATATGTTGTCTTAATTATTATAAGCAATTTGGAGATAGTTTAATGTGTATAGGAGAATGCATATAGCTCCTATGCTATTTTTTTCTCAGAGGCTTGAGTGTCACTGGATTTTGGTAGCACATGGGGACTCTGGAGCCAATCCAGCATAGATCCTGTCTCCTCCATGACTCACCAATTAATTCAGTTTACTCTCTTTGTTGATTGATTCAGCGCATTCATTTACTCACCCTTTGGTTTATAATCATATTTGTTCATTACAGATGTCTTTTGTTGACTAACTGGCATACTCTAGGTACCCCAAAGCTGGAATTTCCTTACCAGATTTATAAGGAGGAAGAGGACCAGCGTGTAGGAGGGACTATTACACAATGAAAAAAAAATCCCACTTCGATGTAAACATAGGATCCCATTTGTGCCTCTCACAGTGGATTATCACATCACAGGATATTGGAGTTGGAGAAGGAAACTAAGGACTTGCTTAGTTTCCTATTTAAGAGGCCATTAGTTTGCACTGTACAACTCTCGAACTTTTCTGGGAAAACCATGTCTATTCTTGGCAAACAGAATGCGTGGAAGTTCCACTTGGTCTTTTACCCACTCAGGTTATCTGTGAACTATCAACTCGCTAGCTGGCCACAGCTGCCTCTGTGGCAGCACCGTCCTGTGAATAGTTCTTCCTGGGATGACCCAGTTAGAGGCAGTGACATGCTGCCTCCCTTAACCCTGACCTGTGTTAAATGGTAATGGCCACTGCATTCTTAGTTCCCTGTGTACAGCCTCCTGTCCTTTACAGTCTGTTCATGGCCTCATTAACAAGCAAGCATTCACACACTTACAGGCCCATCCTTGTCTGATGACCATGTCTTTTGTTAGTCTCCATGTGTCTGGTGCCCAGTGCTGGACTTGACTCCTGTTAAACCCTCAAGGCTTATTTGTAGTTGAATCAAATGGGCGGAGATGGCAACTCAGAAGTTGAGATGGACTCAACTCTGGGTTGAGTCTAGCCACTCTCTCCTTGGAAACTACCTGCTGTTTTTCTTCCATGCTTTCCTCAGCTATCTTTCCTGTAAATAATTGAAAAAATTAACAGTGTGATACTTACCTACCAGGTTTATTTTTCATCCTTTGATTATATTAATATGCCATATCTCCCAGGTAGTAAAGTCTAGCTTGAAAATACCCCACAGCATCCATTTTATGCTTTATGACCTGAGATAATAGCGGTTTTGAGATCACTAGCTTGAAGGCAGGCAGCCTGGGTCAGGGACCTTCTGTCCAGGTTTGTTTTTGTATTCTTCATTTAGATCTGTTATATTATCTATTTATGTGTATGCACATGATTGTGCAGGAACTTGTGGAGGCCAGAGGAGGGTATCAGATCCCTGGTGCTGCAGTTACAAGTGGTTGGTTGTGAGCTCCCTGATGTGGACGCTGGGAACTGAACTCCCTTCTTTTAGAAGAGCAGCGGAGTGCTCTTGACCATTGTACCATCTCTTCAGCCCTTGCCTTTATGACTTTCTAGGTTGTGACCTTGGCAAGTCCCATGGTCTTCTTTGTGAAATGACCTTGCAATTGCACTTTCCAGGTAGGGTTGCTGTGCAGGTGACCCAAGCTCATTCCTGTGATGGGATCAGTATCATTTCAGTGCCTAGTGAGTAGATGACAGTTATTATGTTGTGTCTCTGTGGTTACTGTATCACTCGGAGCCATGAGGCAGTGGAGAAACAAGTCTGTTGGTAGGGTCCAGCATCTTGCTGCTGTTGATATGGTCTCCCATGTTGTAGAGTCACAAAACACTAGTGCAGGAGTGGGTTCTGCTACCGACTGTGAGTATATAAGTGTGTATGTGTATACACTTTGTGCTAGGACCTAGTGTATACAGCCTGTACAACCGAGCCTCCCTCTCTCAACCTGCTGGCATTTTTCCTCAATGCACTTTTTTTTTTTCACTCAGCACCTTCTCCTTTTCATCTCACTGGAGGCCTTTGATGGGTTTCTCTCTTTGGGTATGGGATGCCATCTCCTGGGCAAGGGATGAAGAATTCAATTATCCTGATTATCTTTTGGGGATATTTCAACAGATGTACAAAACAAAATTTCAGTCCTTTCCCTCTCAGAGTGCATTCTGTCTGCATCTGGACTGGAGCACTCCAACTGGCTGGGAGAAGATGTTTTATTCCAGTGTTTGCTAGCTGCTCTGGGGCTCGGTCTTACCTCTGGGGTAAGAGGACTTTATGCTCCAGGCATGGGGTGGCTGCAGAGTTCACATGCTTGCTACCTCCCCTGCCGGCCCCAACTTTGAGGACAGTTCCCTGCTTCCCTTTTGTGGGTTATGTGATGTGAGTCAGAAGTTCATGATATCATGGACTCCTGGGGAACCATGGGAACTCCTGGGAAGCTGGGATGTGGAGGTGCAGTTAGAGACCATTCTGTTTAGCATCTCACTGATTTTTTTCTTCTTTTGACCTCCCTATGTGTTCCAGGTGTATGTGTCTTATGACTACGGAAAATCATTCAATAGGATTTCAGGGAAGCTGAACTTTGGAGTGGGAAACAGTAGTGAAGCCGTGATCTCCCAGTTCTACCACAGCCCTGCCGACAACAAACGGGTAAGGAGGCTCTGGCTTCAGGACACTGTACTCTGGAAAGATGGCTGCACTGAAGGAGGCTGGGCCTTGGAGTCTTTTGCCATCAAGCACACATGGGTTGCCAGCTACTGTGTTTTGTCTAACCTGTGAGTTGGTGACAGAATGCAGTTCTCAAGGTGGATCTTTGCATAATCAGACCAAATACTGGTTGGGCAGGATTTCTGAACAAACAAGGTCAGGTTCAACCGCAGAAATCTGCCAACCAATAAATTACCTGACTCAGTGGTGGCTGGAGCGTTTCTCAGTAAATGGTGCTGATCCTGGGTCTCCAAGAGTGACTGAATTATTGCTTTTGTTGGCATTATCAACGTGTGTGTGTGTGTGTGTGTGTGTGTGTTTGAGTATGCTCATGCATTTGCATTTCTCTTTCCCTCTTTTCTGAACCTGTATGGATATAGAAAAGAAACCCCATGAAGCAGGTATGGCTGTGCCTCTGTCCTCTCCCCAATTAGCTAGCTGCCTTGCTTCTTTGATCAGGACCCCCAGGCAGTTGCATTTGGAGAAAGTGTTGACCTTACCCCTGGGCTTCAGGCAGATGGAGCTGGCAGAGCATGAAGGGAACCTGACAGCCTGCTAGGCTTTCCTGCTATTTGGTAGCTCTTTGCTCTGGGAGTTATATTGGACCCAGTGTTTCCAGAGTGGAAAGTGCATAAGTAGAAAAACCCCTTCAACAGTAAGAGCTTCCTGAAGTGAGGGGAGCTGCTACATTCTGCTTGTGCAGAAAGACCCACTGGGACAAGACCTGGTCTTTTCAAGGCCTTGGTGTTGGTTTCCAAGGCTTTGGGTCTCCTAGTAGGGGCTGCATTAAAAAGATTAAGCAATCCATGTGGTTACCCTGACCAATGGGAGGGTCTTTTTAGTTGCTAGATTTGGGGAGGTGTCCTATCATTCTCCACCCTCCAAAACTCTCTCCCCTTACATCCCCTCCCCTCCTCCATACCTGCATGGCCTCTAATGCTTTAGGAGGAAGTACTTGAGATGTTTCCAGGCAGTGGCTATATACCAGCTGTTGCAGACCATTTGAGAAAAACAAAGAGTAGCATAGTCGCTACTGGTACCTGCTGGATAAATAATCAGCCCTATCTGTTGACCTATATATACACACTTCCCAAGGGGAAAACAAGGAGAAATTGGAGGAACTGGACCTAGTCTGGACTTCTACCTCTCTTAGTACTCCCCTCCTACGGCTACTTTATGACCAGTCAGGATGGTTTTGAGGGCTCCTAGAGGTGGAGAGTGGCCACCTTATGAGATTGTACGAGGTGAGATCCTCCATTTAGGACCTGCTAGAGGGCTGGCTGCTTCTTCTGTATAGTTCTTTGTGTTCCTTGCTCCTAAAGAAGCAAACTACTCTTAGAATTGCTTGTGTTACCAGGGTGTGTTTACACGATTATTATTGTCACCACTAGATTTCCACCCCATCTCACAGCTGACTCTGGCAGAAGTCTTGGCCTCGAAGCCTCCTTCGCTGCCCTGGACTCTCCCCTTACAGCTCAGGGCCCAGATGTAGGCAAGTTGTGCCTTCCTGTCCTTTTCTGGTTATGTATAGCTATATAGGCCACAAGGCTGAAGATAGGAAGAAGACAAGAAGCTTTGGGCTTCTGTAAACACAGTTAGAGCAGGCAGAGGACCTGGGCTTTGCATTATTTGGCCAGCCGAAGGTGTAGAGCACCTGCTGTGTTAGGGCAAGAAGGAAGGAAATAGGGTTACCTCAATGATTATAATAAAGAGACTTAGGCATTGCATGGAGAGGTGGGGACAGTGTGTTTATAGCTCGGGTTTGTGGTGTGCACCTTAGGTTTCTCATGGTGAGATGGCCATGTGTGCTTTGGAGTTGGCAAGGATATGGACTCAGGAAGCAGAGCAACTGCCCTTTTGGAGAACATAATGACGGTTGGAGGTGAGGTTCATAACAAGGAGTGAGAGAGGCTTGTCTGTCTCCGCAAGGAAGTGATGACACCGATTATGCTGGTGTTGCTTCTTACTTTTGCCTTTGTTCTCTGGAAGGCAAATTTTGCCCCACCAGACTTACCACTTCCTGAGAGAAGTCATACAAGGTTGGGTGCCTTGTTGTCAAGAGTACAGTGCTGGGCCCAGGCTCATCGCTGGGCCACTGAAGCATAGTTGGGTTTTATAGCCTAATCTTAGCAGGAGTGTGGATGAATCCTGTCCTTTTTCCGGCTAAGCATGGACCTAGGGAAATAGTATACAGTTTGTTTCCCTTCTTTCACTGCTTGCCTTCTTTGCTTCCAACTCATCATCCGTCATACCTGGGTTCTTGCATCAAAGCTGGAGAAAGTCCATTGTGTTGATAAATTCTGTAATGTACTGTCTTAGTTAGGGTTCCTATGGCTGTGATGAAACACCATGGCCAAAGCTACTGGGGAAGAAAGGCTTTATTGGACTCACAGTTCTAGATAACAGTTCTGTCATCAAAAGCAGTGAGGATAGGTACTCAAGCAAGGCAAGAACCTGGAGGCAGGCGCTGATTCGGAGGCCATGGAAGGGTGCTGCTTACTGGCTTGCTCCCCATGGCTTGCTCAGCCTGCTTTCTTATAGAACCCAGGACTACCAACCCAGGGGTGGCCCTAGCCATAATGGGCTGGGCACTCCCACAGCAATCACTGATTAAGAAAATGTCCTATAGGCCTGTATACATTTCACGGAGGGAGGCATTTTCTCAACTGAGGCTCCCTCCTTGCTGATGACTCTAGCTTGTGACAAGTGACATACAACCAGTCAGTACACTTACTTTACCTTCCCAGACATACCCCTGGGATATCAAGTGATTACAGACATCTGTTGAAGTTCAAGTAGTCCTGAGACTTCACTTTAGGAAGCAGCTAGTAGATCAGGTCTGGTAGCCAATCCATGGGGTTGGCAACCAGGTGCCACCACAGCCAGGCATTTAGAGGTTTAAGAGCAAGTTAAGTGTTCGTTACTTCCCTACCATGTGTGTGACATGTGACATATCTCATTATGAGATGCTAGGAGATGAGTGAACCCTATCTCTAAATGAAGTAGGGGTACTAAGTGAGATAGTGAGGCCCTTCTGGAGCACTGAGGATTAGGAATGGGGCTTCAAGAATGGACATTTGTCATTAGTAGTGGTTGCAGAGAGGAAGGCACTGGCAGGGAGAGACCCCAGGGACCTGGCCTATGGCATTTGTGCAGGATGGCTGTTCTGCATTGCCATCCTGACTGCAATTTGGAGGTGGAGGAGATTGACTTTCACTTTGAGGACTCTGGAGAGCCCTGAGAGAATCTTAGTTGGGAAGTGTTGGGCAGGAACATTTCTGGAAAACGTGGCTCCTAGCAATATGTATAATGTATTAGAGGAGAAAGAACAGAGAGAAGCCTGGGAAATGAAACTTTGTCAGTCCCCAGGGTTGGGATTAGAGGGAGGAACCATGTCTCCTAGCTTGTTACGTGGCTGCTGAGGATCTGAACTCAGGTCCTCATGCTTGCATAAGTCCTTTGCTGACCGAGGCGTCTCCCCGGTCTCATCACTTAACATCACTGAGGGTCAAGCTTCAATTTGTAAACCTTTATGGGACAAACCACATCCAAACTGTAGCAAGCATTCAGTTGTCATTCTTAAAAGCAGGGGTTTAGGCTGCACGCAAGAAATACTACATTAGTAAAGGAAATAGGACTCCAAGCTTCCAAGGTGGGACGGGGTAGGGGTGGAGGGATGGGGGATGGAGATGAGTAATCTGCACAGAATCAAAGTCCAAGATCGTCATGGGAGGAACATGGAGGGTTCAGAGGGGTGTTGCAGAAGGTGAAGGAAGATGAGTTTCCAGGGAAAAAGTGAGGACCATCTGAGAAGAGGACCGTATGTGAGTTAAATCGTACCATAAAATGGTTTCAGATCAGGAAGTGCTGCCTTTGGTTTGGAGAGCACTAAGGATTGACAGACTGTTAAAAACTGGGCTCTGCAAGAGCTGGGTATGACTCTGCTCCTGCGTCATCTTGGGCATTTAACTGCCATGAGCTTCAGTGTCATTGTCATTAAAAGGGGGTGTGACAGGATGACCCAAAACACTGAGTCACTGTGAATGAGGAACAGCCTGAGTAAGACACAGCCTGGGAAACTACTAGTTCCCTGCCTTGTGTGGAGCAAGTATTCTTAAAAACAAAACACAAACAAACAAACAAACAAACACAACAACAACAACAGCAACAACAACAACAAAAATCCCAATCAAACCAAGCCAACTAGACAAACAAACCAAAAACCCATTCGGCCTTGTCATAAAAAATGGCTAGTTGTATGGTATTTTAGATTTACAAATGTGATCCCGTAGGAAGGCATGAAACAGATTCCTGGAGCAGTCCTTTCTAATTGAAATCCTTACCTTCCTGAGGAGCCAAGATGGGTTGAGAACAGGAAGGCAGGCTATTTCTAAGGAAGATATCCATGGTGAAAATTATGATGCTCTTGCTAGGATCGTAATTGTTTTTATTGCATCGAGTTTGCTTAGAGTAGTTCTTGCTTTCAAAACATTTACTACCTTCTTTTGAGATTTAATTAGGCTTCTGCAGAGTGTGAGATTTACATTAGATGCTGGGGGAGGAAGTACAAGAGAAACAACACAGGAGAGACATGCAAAGGAGAAGGAAGGAGGGACAACTGAGAGCCAGGCGGGAACCAGTGCAGGGTAGCGGCTCATGTGCAGGCTGATGAGGGGTTTGGAGCAGGAAGCTCATCTGTCACATAGGGAAATGTCCTTGGACTGATTCCCTTGAATTGGCTGCCTTCTAGAATGTGAAGGATTGGCTGTGGGTGGTGCTGGGTCCCTGTTGCTCTCACTCTGATTCATCGCCTAGTTCTCTGGGCCACTCTTATTCTTCTTGGAGCATGGGCGCTCCCCCGACCCCCAGCTCCCATCTCACTTGCACTTCCTAGGCTTGTTCTTGTCTTAGGCCTCCAAGCTCATAATCAAGCCTGTATAGTAGTCCCTAGCCCTCTACTTTGTGCCCAAAGTTACATTCCCCCAGGCATGGAATATTCTTTCCCGGTGGATGCTATGCCTGCCATGCTAGTTAGTTTTTGTCAACTTGACACAAACTAGAGTTGTCGGGAAGAGGGAACCTCACCGGAGAAATTGCTTCTATCAGACTGGCCTGTAGTCAAGTTTATGGGAGCATTTTCTTGATTAATACATTGATATGGGAGCACCCAGCTCATTGTAGGAGGAGCCACTCGTAGGCAGGTGGTCCTGGGTTGTAAAAGAAAGCAAATTGAACAGGCCATGGGGAGCAAGCCAGCCTCCACATAGTTCCTGCCTCTGATCCTGCTTGAGTTTCTACCCTCACTTTCCTCAGTGATAAGCTATGATTGGAGCATGTAAGCCAAATAAATCCTTCCCTCCCTAAGTTGGTTTTGGTTGGTGTTTTATCACAGCAACGGAAGGCAAACCAATATAGCCACCCTTCAGTGACCACCTCTTATATGAAGTAAACTCTGATACCTTGGACTGGACAGGTTCTCACAGTGCTCTGCCTGTGTCACTGGTCATTTAACCCTCATCTGTGGCTAGCTGTGGGCATGCCTACCTCTCATAGTAGGCTGCTACTGCCTAGGGGAGGATCCTTATTGCAGAACTCTTAGTATGTGACTTATGGTCTGCAGTATCCATGTGTTAAATTGTACTACCTTCGTCTTGTCCCCAAGAAATCTTGAGGTGGCAGCTGCTGCCATCCCAGTAGAACTTGTTTAAAGTCAGGGACCTATTAAGAAAGTAAAATGAGGCATGGCCCCTGCTTGCCACAGCCACTTCAGAGTGTGCCTGGCAGCACAGTTGGTTCCCCAAGCTTATGGAGTCACCTGGCATAATAGCAAGGAGGGGCAGCTTATCTTAGATGTAGAGATTTTAATGGTTTTCCAGGAAAGGTATGACCTAGGGCTGCTCAGAGGATGGAAGGAGTGATGGCACCCTCCTCTGGGTTCAGGCTGTCTGAAGGGCAGGATATCTTCGTCCTGGCTGCCAGTAGCCACCTTCTGACTGTGACTGAATGGCCTGCTTTTGAACAAGAATGGCCAAGTCCATTGGAAAGAATAAGAAACACCAGAAAAGTCTGCCAGTCTTATGACCTGGGTAAACAAGCTCCCTTCATGGCCTCACCAGGCCTGTTTCTTCACTCCTTCCTTTGTGTGTGTGTCACATGAGGACTAGAGAACAGCCTCTGGTATTTGTCCTCAGGCATGGCCTCACTTTTTTTAAGGTAGGTACTAGTGTATACAAAGCAAGAATCTTCCAGCTGAGCTATCTCCCAGCCCGGCACCCCTGTTTTAACTGAATATGGTTTGATATATCCAGCATCTTTTGGTTGCCAGGAGATGCAAAGAAAGAGGATGAGACTGTGTTAGTGCTGTACCCCCCAACACAGGGCACTTGCATATGGTTTAGGGACCTGCCCGGTGGCTCTGGCCAGACAGTGCTCTGAGCTTGCCTATTCTCTCTTGCAGTACATCTTTGTAGATGCTTATGCCCAGTACCTCTGGATCACGTTTGACTTCTGCAGTACTATCCATGGCTTCTCCATCCCATTCCGGGCTGCTGACCTCCTCCTCCACAGCAAGGCTTCCAACCTCCTCTTGGGCTTCGACAGGTCTCACCCAAACAAGCAGGTAAGAGGCCTTTGGAGCCCATGTAAGTGTGTGTGTGTGTGTGTGTGTGTGTGTTTCTTTTGGAATTATCTGTTCTGCTTGAGTGGATTGTGTGTCCTTTTCATGACCTCACCTCCTCCTTCTTCCTTGTCCTTCTCTCAGGCTTAGCCTTTATAGCTACTATTTCACTTACCACAGCTAAGAAAAAGTATACTCCTCTTGGCACCCTCTCCCCATGTCCTTGCCATCACTTAGCACCCAACACCTGGCAGGCCTTGTGACTTCAACACTAGGCCTTTCTTGGTGTGCATGCATGTTTGCAAGTCTATGGGATAAGTGGGGGCCCTGGAATTTGAGTAGAGAGAACCATAAGAGAAATCTGGAGCCTGAGCTCTTCTGTGGCTTCCTTGTGTATTTCTGTCTGACTTCTCTATCCTCTACTGTATTTATTTTGTTTGACTTTAGCCAAACTGGGATTGAATTCAGGCCCTTGGACCTGCTAGGCCAGACTGCCACCACTCAGCTTCACCCTGCTCCATCTTAAGCACACGGCACTTGCATTTGTTTGACATTATTATAAACTTTAATATTCCTCCTTTGTGTTTGTGTGTGCCTGTGAGTTATAAAGCGAATGATGTGTATTTTCCATTTTGAATCAAGTTTGAAGGAAACTAAGAAGTGAGGTAGAGCCTGTAGAGGAGTTCTGTTTCAAGGCTCCAATGTGTCTAGTTGTGAATATTGGTAGGGCATAAACCTGCGACCTCAGCAGGTCCTCTCTAAGTCCTGGCTGGGGAGGCTTGAATGCTTTTGCCCAAAAGGGCCTTGGAACAGTTCATTTGCTCTGCGGTTGTTTAACCAAAACAGAGATCTGTTTACCTTTGCAAGCCCTGGGGAGTAACTGAAGCTTAGGGGCAGGGTCAGTTTACCAGGAGAGGTGGACTATTGTTAGTTTTGGTCGCAGGCTTCTTTATCTTTTCTGCTGGGGACTGTGGAAGCCTCTGGTATCTACAGGCTTTGGGGAAGAGCTGGCAAATTACTCACCGACCAAGTTCATGCATTCAGTTGGTCCTTGTAGTCAAGCATTCAGAAGATCCTTTTGCTCTGGGCTTAAGCAGGACCCTCTGCAGTCAGCTGACATGACCAATTCGTATTTATTTAGTGCTGGGTATCAGACCCAGGGCTTCTTACATGGCAGAGGGTGACCAATTTGTATTTATTTATTTAGTGCTGGGTATCAGACCCAGGGCTTCTTACATGGCAGAGGAGTATTCTGCCACCACCAAGCTAGCTTCATAGTCCACAAATTATATTTTTATTCTCTTTTTAGTGTACTTTTCTTCTTTAGAACATTTTAACTTTTTTGTTTGTTTAGTTGATTGATATCAGTTATGTTTATATTGTGCAATATCACCATCATCCAGAGCCGGAACTTTCTTTCCATCTTGTAGAATTGAAACTTTATCTATGTTAAACGCACACTCCCCGTTTCCCCCTCCCCAAGTCCCTCCTGGCCACCATTGTGCTTTCAGTCTTGATCTTGGCCTCTCCTGGTTCCCTCATATAAGTAGAATCACATGATCTGTCTTTTTTCACTAAGAACAGTGTTTTCAATGTCCTGGACTTCAGTGTGTGCCAGGATCGAGTTCCTTTTGCAAAGGGATCATACACTGTTGTGTTGATTACTGCATTTTTGCTTCGTTATTTTGCAGTGTTAGGGAAGAAACCCTGGGCTTTGTACATGCTAAGCAAATACATTTTTTTTTGTCCTAACCTCTCCTCACTTAAGAGATAATACAGCCCACAAGTGGATAACAAATCACCCTCATTTTTCTTCCAACTGCTCTAGAGAACAGATCTGTCCTTCCTTCTCTTTCTGATTGCTGTGGTATGCCTGAGTGCCTGTCCTCACAGTGCCCTGTGGAGGGTGGGATTTCAGTTGGTGTTTCCATCATATGGGAAACATGCATCTCTTTTCATGAGGCTGCTTCTTTTCATTTTGGTCTCTGCAGCTATGGAAGTCGGATGATTTTGGCCAGACCTGGATCATGATTCAGGAGCATGTGAAGTCCTTCTCTTGGTAAGTTGAGTCGCATGGCAAATCCTGGTGTACAAAGGAAGCCTCCTATTCTTTAGCTCCTTCAGTTTGGATTAGTTACTTTGGCATGGCTGGAACCAAAATACTTGACAGGAACAAGTTAGGGGAGGACTATTTTAGCTCACGGTGTCAGCAGGTCTTGGTTTGTCATGCTAGGGAAATATGATGAGCCAGCTCATGGCAGTGGGAGACGCTGGATGAGGCTGTTCACATCACAGTAGACCAGGAAACAGAATTAGGAAGGAACTAGGAACAGAGTATGACTTTTGAAGGCCTGACACTGTCTATTTGAAGGCCTGACCCTATTCACCTACTTCTGCCAGCTAGGCCCTACCTCATTTAGGTTTAACAGCTTCGAGCTGGGAACGAATGTTCAGAATATGACCCTATAGGGAAAATGGCTGACTCAAATAGTCATAATAGACAGTGGGTGGATATTTTACTCTCACGTAAAATGTGAGGCACTTAGCTCAAGACATATGCTGTCCTGATCTGAGAAGCAGAATTGCACAGAGAACAAACTCACAAGTTGGCCCTGAAAAAGTGGGTGTTTTTCAGTTGGGTAGGGGACCTAGGGGAACCTTGAAGCTCTTGCATGTCCTAGAACCCCAAACATTTCCATATTCAAGGCATTATATCACAAATGGGATTTTCTTTGGTATAAAAACCCAGATTCTGGTACATACACTTCATGTTTTGTTTGTTTGTTTGTTTTCAATACAAGCTAAACAAAATCGATGGATACAGTTAACTGAGAATGTAGTGTAGGGAGTTAGAAGAGTCATTTGTGTACATGCCACACATGTTGGAAGAAGCACGAAGTACCAGACAGCTTCTGGTTGCCCTTGATCCAGGCTGTGCATGGCAGGTGGGAACAGGAAATTTGTATGCTGTATATAGTTGTAGAGGACAGGACTTCTCTATAGGTGCCAGATGGCCAGAAGCAGCCATGTATTATGTGGTACCTGGGTAGGGAATACTGAATGTAATGTTTGGACAGTGTATTGTTTGAAATACGTGAAGAGAAAGTATGTAAGAATCTGCAATGCTGAGGGACAGTAAGATGACTTAGCTGTTAAAGGTGCTTGCCACCAAGTCTGTTGACCTGAATTCAATTCTCAGAAGCCACGGGTGGAGGAAGAAAACCAACTTTCAACTCTGACCTCCATACAGTGCTTGCATTGTGGTACACACACACACACACACACACACACACACACACACACACACACACACACACACACGCACAGGCACAAGAAATCTACAGTGTTTGAGGAAGGAATTTGGACTGAATTCTGAGAGCAGTGGAGAGAGCCACTGTATGTTTTAAGGAGAGTGGAGTAGACAAACTGGTGCCATAAAAACCACCTATGTTTAAGTAAGTACTGCTGCTTGTCACCTTGTACTGTGACAGCAGTGGAACATGAGATCTTGAACACAGGTGTTTGCATGTTTGCAATGTGTGGGGGACAGATTCTTGGGACTTGGCTGTAGGGCCAAGTGATTGTGTTTGTCTTATTTGGTTATTCTGTCCTCATGAGTAACTGAGAGACATGATAAACCGATGTCTACTGAATTGACTCTTGATCCTCCTATCTTGCATGGGTCATTGTCATCTCCTCATTCAGTGTCCAGGATCAGTTTAAGGACATTGTTGAGTGTGGTGGAGCACACCTTTGATCCAAGCACTCAGATGGCAAAGGCAGGCAGATCTCTGTGAGTTTGAGGCCAGTCTGTCTGGTCAACATAAGGAATTTCAAGACAGCCAGGGTTACAAAGTGAGACCTTGTCTCAAAAAACAAGACAAAACAAAACAAAACATTGTGGTCATTGAATCCACATTTGTTTTATGCTCCACACTTTGTCCATCTGGACTGTGTTCTCAGTGGCCTGTGTATGTGTGTGTGTGGTGTGTGTTCATATATGTGTGGCCACACGTGTGTCTGGGTATATGGACATGTAAAGGCTTGAAGTTGTCATCCATGTCTTCCTGCATGACTCACCACCCTATTTATTGAGAGAGGATCTCTCTCTGAATCCAGAGCTCACCAGTTCTGTCTAGTCTAGCCAGCAGTCTTGCCATAGAGAATCTTCTCTGCCTCTACACCTGTCTTTTTTTTCTTTTATGCTGGGGTTCTGAATTTCATCTTTATGCTTTCATGGCAAGTGTGTTATCCACTGAGCTATCACCCCAGCCCCTAACCTATCTTTGCGTACCCAGAGATGCCTGCTCAGCTATGGCTTTGCTTAGAGCCAATGTCGTTGCTCGTCTCAGCTGTCTCTCTGGGTTCACTCTTGTCCGCTGGAAGTTTATCCTTAGAACACAGGCAGAGCCATCCTTTTGAACCTTTGTGCATGTGTGGTGTATAGATGTTCACATCTGTGTGCACATGTGTTTGCAGGGATGTGTGCATGTGAGGTTGATGCTGACTGTCATCTCACAATGAACCTGGAGCTCACTGATATGACTAGCCTGGCTGGCCATCGAGTCCCTGGGATCTACCCTTCCCTGCTCCCCCTATTAGCATTCATATGACAGACAGGAGTCTCCACTCCCACGTTTTACATGGGTTCTGAACTCAGCTCCTCAGTCTTGTATAGCAAGCACCTTACCCACTGCACCATCTCCCCAGCCCTCCTTTGAACCATTGAATGCATCTTTGTTTACTCAGAGGAAGTACATATGGACCATGGGGCACAGGGCCTGCGCACTTGCTCTTTCCACTGGGTAGAATGTTCTTTCCTAGCTTGCACTTACTGCCTTCCCTCTTACTTCATTAGTCCTTGAGACTGCCCATCAGATCCTACTTATTTACTAAATGTTTATTAGAGTATATACTATGTTGTTTTGGGATAGAGATAGTAAAGTGGTACCCACAGTGAAACAAGTTATAGGCATCATCACTCATGGCTGTCCTTGTGTGTGTGAGACAGGAGCAGCCACAATCTATTCATTTAGCAAAAATGCCAAACACAAGCTACCATTATGAAGTCTAATCCTCTATTAGCTCTCTAGACTTCTTCACCCTCCATGCCCTCTACTTTTATTTCCTTTAACTTTCCTCTCTCATTCCCACCACCATTTGATTTTTTAAAAAAAATCTCGATGAAGTGAGAACATATGCTTTTTTTGTGTGTCTGGCCCATTTGACTTAATATAGTCTTCTAGGTCTCTCCCTGTCATACCATGGCTCCCATTTTAAAGGTTGACTAATATTCCACTATATCTGTACACCACAGTCTCTTTATGCATTTATTTTTCTGTCAGTGAACACCTACCTAGGTGTCTCAGCTCTTGTGAATCGTGCCACAGTAAACATGGGAGCACAGATCTCAGAGGCAGTGATTTCATTTCCTTTGGGGTTTATATCCAGGAAAGAGATGCTCAGTCATATGGTAGTTCTATTTTTAACTTCCTTAGGATCCTCACCCGTCTTGTTTCACACAGTGTGCCACATATGTAATCCCCCTTTCTCCACACCCTCCCAGCACCCCTGTCTATTGTCTTTTAAGTAATAGCCATTTTTCTGTGGGGAGCCTTCTAGAGATTCTACTTAAAATGACGATTACTCTGTTTGTTCAGCTATGTGCTATTCTTTTTGTATGTAATCCCTTATTACCTTGGAGCACACAGTTGTTTGCCACATTAACTGTTTGTCTTCAGTAGGATGAGAGCATCAAAGGGAGGCGATTTTATTAGTCTTGCACACTGCTGAGTCCCCAGGGAAATTGTGACTTGGGTAGACATTGCCAAACGTTCCATGGACATTGTCAAATTTACTTTCATCTCAGTAGCATAGAATAGTGTCTTTCTCTACAGCTAAGGGCACATTGTCTCATTTAGCTTTAATTTGCATTTTCTCATTATGAATGAATTTGAATGTCTTTACTCAAGAACTTTTTTTTTTTTTAAGATAGGACTCATGTAACCATGGATGGCCTGGAACTATCTATGTATTTGGCAATGACCTGGATCTCCTAGTCAAGCATGATTTAAAAAATGCTCTTCTTAGCAAGTTCGAGGACAGCTATGACTATACAGAGAAACCCTGTCCAAAAAAAAAAAAAGTTGCTCCTTTTTGGGGACATGTCTGCTAATGCCCCTTGCACTTTTTCTTTCTTTCTTTTTTTTCTGGGGGGAGGCGGTTGAGACAGTGTTTCTCTGTGGCTTTGGAGGCTGTCCTGGAACTAGCTCTTGTAGACCAGGTTGGTCTTGAACTCACAGAGATCCACTTGCCTCTGTCTCCCTGAGTGCTGGGATTGTGGCTTCCCTTGTTCTTTTTCTGATTGTTAATTTTCTTATTGATTTCTGGGAACTCTTTATATAGTTGAGATTAGGTTCTTTCTGTGTGACATAAGACAGGTTGTGTGTGTATACTTGTTTGCCAGTTATTATTTTTCTTTTGAGTTTTATGTTTAATTTCATCTACATTAAATATAGTAGACCAATAGGATGTAAATACTGCGTGTGAATTTTTTTTGAGTTGATATTAATTCCTTAGTAACAAAGGATGCTGAAGAAGAAGGAAAAGGGGGGATAAGCGGCCCTACAGCTAAACATCTTTTAAATCACATTGACTTCCCTTTCATAACAAGCAGTTATTCTGATCCTTTGATTATTTTCCTTGGGCAGAGGCTGTGGGTGTCTTAGGAAAATTGTAACCATACTATCGAGTAAGAACAGCCTCCATCCAGGGAGTACCATCATAACTTTCCTTTGCCTTATGATGACGAATTGATTCTTTTAGATTTATTTTACTTTGTATGTATGGGTGTTTTACCTGCATGTGTAATTATGCATCACAAGTGTGCCTGTTGCATACAGAGATCATAAGAAAGCATTACTGGATTTACAGATGTTTGTGAGCTACCGTGTAGATAGTCCTCTCTAAGATCAGCCAGCATTCTTAACCATTGAACCATCCCTCCAGCTCCCAAATTGACCTTTTACCACCTTAATGAACAGCATATTGAGAAGCTGAGCCAGCGGGGCTGCTAAATGAAGGGGTTTTTAGCTTAGAAATTTGTTCTGTGACTTCTGCAGGCACACAGTTGGAGAGGTTGGTCCACTTTATTTCAGATGCTTAGATGTCTAGAATTGGGATTTCAGGCTTCTTGGGGGATTTCTCCCTAAATTTCCCTCCATAGTAAGTAAGAGTGCAATCTGATCTTTCTGAGAGTAACACGGTCTTGATCCACAATGCCTGTCAGCCTGGGAACATCAGGCAGGGGAGGCAGGGGCCAGGGCATAGAAAGCTAGAAAATACATGTCCAGAGCTAGAGACTGGCAAAGCAGGGCAGGAAAAGACCTGTAAGAGGGTGGGGGACATTTAAGGGTGCCCCACATAGCTTCCCAGTGGGTGAGGCAGGTAGGGCCTAGTGGGTGACTATGCTTACAAATAGCCAATGGATACAGTTTCTCCATTGAAGACAGAATGAGAAGAGCTGGAGAGAAGCTGCAAGGCAAGGAGATGCCAGAGTACAGGAGTCTGTAGATGGAGTCAATCCCAGGGTTAGGAGGTGCAAATATGGATGAGGGAGGAGGGTTGGGATGAGAGGTATGACCCTGGTTTCCTCTTTTGGCTGGAGAAAGGGATAATAGAAATAAGCTCATCTCAAAATATGTCAAGCAGGGTTTCTTCCTCTCTGCCTTTTAAAAATACCCAGCAGCCTCCTTTTCATTTGCATATCCTCTAGGCTAGAGGAAGTACTTTAATCAGTACTTCTAATTGTGGAGAAGAGAACATGTCACCAGCCGCCCCCACACGAGCATCTGATCAGGAAGAATGGATTTCTCCCACGCCGGGCCCAGGCTGCTGGCTTCTCCACCACTCTGCTCAGAGTCCAGATTGTAGGGTCGACATCAAGTCTTCCCCCAGTGTGAAATGAGACTCTCCCTTTTCTATTTCTTGTCTCCTTCCTGTGTATGTTCACATGCATGTGTTTTGGAGATAAGGTCTTTCCTTGAACTTGGGGCTTACTGGCTGGACGTCTTCTCCACCTTTCCATCTTTGGGATCGTAAGACACCACACCCCCGCTTCTCATGTGACCAAGGCGGCTTTAGGTTCTCGTGCTTGTATTGCACCAGCTTTACTGACTGGACCATCTCCCCAGTTCTATTTCTTCCTTTGAAAAGAATATGTTTTCTTTGATGAACATGGCCTTGGCCATCTGTCTTAGGAGGAATTAGAAATGATCTTCACTCTCTTTATGCTAAATGCCACAGGGCATGTAGAACTGTGTACAGGCAGCCACATAAATGACACCCTCGGCTCCATGCCTGAGTCATCTCTGCATGGCTACAGTGGGGTTCTTTTCTTGACTTCCTAATTAATTCTTCATTTGCTGGTTAATCAGCCTTGGTGTTTATTTCTTTGAGTGTCGGGAAGCTTGAGCAGATCGGTGGTCTTCCCAGCATATGGGTGACTCAGACCTTCTCCAGTGTAGTCTGATCTTAGCCTGAATTGGCAGTTGGGGTTAGTATCTATAGTTGTGGTCCATGCATCCAATGCAGTGAGCATCTCTTCAGCCAGGGATTCTATTATCCCAGGTTCCCCAGGCCAGTGTGACGGGTCCAGGAAGATTGCACAAAGACATGTAATGCAGTGGATAAGAGGCACCATTATATTGTCACGAGACCGACTCCAAAATTCACCCAATATTTTCATACCTTGAGTTAAAGCTCCTGTAGAAGTGTTGATAAAGAGTGTTACAGAGATGTATGGCGAACATTGGGAGGAGAAAGAGTAGCACTTGGAGGACAGTGATTTGAACTTGATCTTGGAGGAAGTAGGGTTTAGGTGTAAGTACTGGAGTTGGTACAGAAGGCACCTCTACACAGAGATGTTCACAGAAGCATAGAGACAAGCATGCCTGCCCTCTCTGGAGATACCTCGTATATCGACAAAGCAGGTGCCTCCTGGGGGATGAAATGTACTGGCAGGATGAGTCCAGATGGCATGGGTTAGTGATGTCAGCAGGAAAGGGAGGGAAAGATCTGAGGGACAGGCCACTTGGCTCAGAGAGTCCTAATGTGCCCTGCCTACTGCTGTAGTTTTTAGGCTACGGCACCTAGGAAAAATGCCTCCCCTCTGAGCTTCTGAGCTTAGGGCCAGGAACTTTCGAGCACCTCCAGTCTCGCTCATTTCATTCAGAGCCACCCTGCCTTTTGCTTTTTCTGCTCTTTGAAAGTAGGGCCGGAGATGGCCTTGAGCTAATCCCAGGATGCTTTGGAAACAGCCATAGCAGAGTAAAAACTTTGCAAGTGGCAGTTCCCCAACTTCTGTCCCTAGCTAAGGAACAAGCAAGGGCACATGGTTGAGGCAGAGTGCCATCTGTAACTGGCACCATGGGGTCTTAGATCCTAGGCAATTGTCCACACAGTGAAACGTCTGTGCCTCTAATGATAAAATAAGAAATGATAACAGTTGCTTCTTCCTTTCAGGGGAATCGACCCCTATGACCAGCCAAACACTATCTACATTGAGCGGCACGAACCCTTCGGGTTCTCTACAGTGTTTCGAAGTACAGACTTCTTCCAGTCCCGGGAGAATCAGGAAGTGATCCTGGAGGAAGTGAGGGACTTTCAGCTTCGGGACAAGTACATGTTTGCAACAAAGGTGGTGGTAAGTTGAGGATGCTCAGCAGTACGCTGCTCCAACAGTTCCTTTGCTGGGGCTGGCATCCACCTGGGTGAGTTTGTATGACATCAACTGGGTCATGTACTTGGGGTAACTTGGCTGAAGGATCCCGAAGGGCATGGAAGGTGCCAGATCAGAGCAGAGAAATTCAGAACAGGCAATCAATGTGTCAGAATATCTAGGACTCTGCTTGTCTCCCGGTAACCAAGCATTCCAGACAAAGACAAATTTCTTTTTTGATGTATGTGTTTATATGTATGTTAATATGTGTGTGTGTGTGTGTGTGTGTGTGTGTGTGTGTGTGTGTGTGTGTGCAGGTGTGGTGTGGTGTGTGTGTGTGTAGGCCATAAGCTGACCTTAGGTGTTTTTCTCTCGCTCTCCAGTCTTACTTTTTGAGACAGGCCAAGCCTGTAGTTTATCCATTCAGCTAGGCTTGCTGGCCAGTGAGCTCCAGGGAACCTTATGTTGCAGCTTCCCCAGAGCTGCTGTGTCTAGTTCTTCATCCCACAATGGGTACTGGGGATTGAACTTAGGTCCTCATGCTTGCTCAGCAAGTGTTTTTACCAACTGAACCATCTCCTTAGCTCCTAAAAGCACATTTCCTTGTAATCTCAACAAAAAGAATATGGATGGGAACCACAGTACTTGGGAAATATTTTTCTTTCAATCCCACTGCCTGGTTGGTTTCTTTTCAATTTAGACTCATCTCTTTGAGATTTTTGGGCACTTTCATTTACATGGCTAATAGGATGTGTGGTCATTGGCTAGTGGGAGTTAATACTCAAAGACAAGCAGTAATTAAGCTTCCAGCTGTCAGTAGGTTGCTTAATGCTGAGCCTTGAGGATGTCCTTCCCCTTGGTTTGATGTGCAAGAGCCAGATGCTGAAATGCTTGCTCATTTCAAACCAGAGTGGATTACTTAACAGGACTCTGTGACCCTGTTCAAAGGGACAAAGTGGGCTCTGGCAAGAGCATCTTGGATCCCTGCTCCCGGGAACTGCAGCTTTGCTCACTGTCTGTGAAAAGTCTCTGGTACCTGGGAGTCTGTCCTGCTTTCTGTCACTGCAAAGTTAGGGACTGAAGCCAGATACAGTGTTCTTCTCCAGGTTCTCATTTATTTCTGCAGTTGGTACAGACGGGGCAGAAGCAGGCCAACCTCCTTGATAGACTTCTAGGGTACTTGCCAGCAGGGAAAGCAAGGAGGAAGGTTGGAGGAAGGGTACAGGTGGCTAAAAGCTATAGACATTTTTTATTTAGGACCTTGCAAAAATGTGTTTTTGTAACAATAAGTCTTTACTCCATCCGCCCGAGCCCCACCGCCACACAGAGTCTTATATTAGTTTATAATGCTTCTGGCCAATTGACTAGGATTTCTTACTTGCTAGTTCAGTCTTAAGTATCAACCATAAATACTTATCTTATCGAATGCCAGCTGCAGGCATCTTCTCTTGCTGGGATCACATGGCGGCTCCAAAGAGAAGAAAGAGCAGGAGGAAGACCAAGAGCAAGAGAGCGATTTCCTGTTTGTCCCTGCTTATATATGAGTCTGCCTGCTATGTCCCTTCCTGCCTGTATCACAAGACTTCTTTTTACTACATTTCCCAGAATCCTTCTCAACTCCTAGTCCCACCTAACTTGCTGCCTCCTTGGCCAAACAGTGCTTTATTCAACACTCAATAAGATAAACATACACAGAAGGACATTCCCCATCATGCTTGGCTTCTTTCTTTCCTTCTTTCTTTCTGTCTGTCTGTCGCTCTTTCTTTCTTTTGGATTTTTTTCAAGATATGGTTTCTCTGTATAGCTTTGGAGCCTGTCCTGGAACTCACTCTGTAGACCAGACTGGCCTCGAACTTCCAGAAATCCCCCTGCCTCTGCCTCCTGAGTGCTGGGATTAAAAGTGTGTACCACCACCACCTGGCCATGTTTTCTGATTTTATTTAAAATGGCATTATATTTATTTACTTATTTAGTGTGTGTGTGTGTGTGTGTGTGTGTGTGTGGATTCTGGAAAATGTAGTAAAAAGAAGCCTTGTGATACAGGCAGGAAGTGACATAGCAGACAGACTCATATATAAGCAGGGACAACTTGTGGACTTTAGTTTTCTCCTTCCACCATTTGGGTCCTGGGGTTTGAGCTTCATTCATCAGCCTTGACCAAAAGCACCTTTACTCCTGAGTTATCTCACTGGCCCACAAAATGTTTTATTTTTAAAAGTTGTTTTAGGGCTGCAGAGATGGCTCAGTGGTTAAGAGCACTGGCTGCTTTTCCAGAGGACCCTGGTTCAAGTCCCAGCATCCTCGTGGCAGCTCATATCTGTCTGTAACTCCAGTTCCAGGGAACCATAGCATCCTCATACAGACATACATGCAGGCAAAATATTAATACACATCAATTAACTTTTTTTAGAAAGGTTGTTTTACATTTTTAATTTACGTGTGTCTGTGTGTGGGAATGTGCACGTGAGTGCAGGTTCTGAAAGAACAGTACATGCTCTTAACCTCAGAGTCATCTTTCCCGCCCCCACAAATGTCTTTCAAACCACTGAATTGTGGCTGCCTTTTTTTCTTCTTGCATTGACCCCTAGATCATCCCTTTCTTGCTTTGCCTGGCTTTTTCTTCTACATACCCATGAACACACATACACATGTGCACACACACACACACACACACACACACACACACACACACACACACACACACAGGCTTTCAGAGTAGTTCAAGAACATGCCCAGCTCCACTTGCCTTGGACATGAGTAGGATAATAGAAAACAGGCACCAGCATTGATGCTTTGTGACCCAAATCAGATAACCCCGAGTTCTTTTGCATCTGAAATCTTATCTCTGGTTCCCCAGTGGCTGTGGGCGTTTTTCTGTTTGAAGTCCTTGGCTTGGAATTAATTTGTGTCTTTAATTTCTTGATTCTTACACTTACTGGTGATGCCCTGGTTTGTCCTTGTTTTCACCTGAGTGGGGCCTGAGGTAGATGGCTGCTGTTCCTTCTCTTAGTCTGTAATTCCTGGATCTCATGCTCTAGCATTAAAGGACAATAGCGGGAGCTGTCTGTGTTCCACTCCAGTCTTAACAATAGACACAGCTGTTCTTTAGTGCATCCGTGGAGTTTCTGTAACTCCTGGGGACATGTCTGCTTTGATGGTCACTGACACCCAATAGCAGTATGAAGTAGAGTTGAACATGGGCTGCCGTAGACCTACACAACTAAAAACAGCACACATGAGTCCATTTTTAAATTTTGCAAGGATGTATGGTGGTTAGTCTTGCCATGTTGATTTTGCATTGAGAAGTACAGGAGGTTAGTGAAGCACACTTCTGTATTCACAGAGGATTAGTTGGGGGAAAAGATACCCAGAAAAAGTAGGGGTCAGTCACTATCCTACCTGTAGTCTGGGGACCTGGAGGGAATAAAAGAGGAAGAAACAGAAAGTTTGTTATCGTCTTTGTCTTTTTTGTCCTCCAGGGACTGACTTGCTCTTCTCTGCCATGTCTTTCCTGCCACTGTAGACTGGACCTCTAAAACTGTGAGCCAAAATTAGTCATTTCTTCCTTTAGTTGGTTTATCTCAGTATTTGCCACAGTGAGATAAAGTCTAACTAGTACAGTTAATATTGCTGTATTGAGCCTCTCTCTACCCAAGAGCCTTGTGAGAGGGTGCTGCCTAGTCAATGGTATTCACACTTTGCCTCCTGTGTGTGGACAGGTCTCTGGGTTCCAAGGCCAGTGGTGCGGCTTGCATCTGTGATTCTAGATAAGCTTTGTCAGGCCATCACTCTTCTCTTAGTAGCATCTGCAGCATCATTGCCCAGGAGCAGATGTTACTAGTACACATTGTAGGGCCCAAATGCACCCCAGCCCCCTGAGGATCAAAGTGAATTTCAAGAGTTTTAAGAAAGGGGATGGAGAAGAGGGCTCAGCAGTTAAGAGTGTTTGCAGCTCTTCTTCCATAGAACTTCAGTTCCCAGCAACTGCAAGAGATGGGTCATAACTATATCTAACTCCAGCTCTTAGGTTATCTGATGCTTTCTTCTGGCCTGTGTGGGCAGGGCACCTGTGTGCATGTGACAAGCATGCAGGCATTTTAACACTGAGTTATCTTGCTGCTCTTGAATTTGTTTATTCCGTGTAGAGCTTCTATATAAGATACATAAGTTGTGGCCAGGCATTGGTAGTGCGCGCCTTTAATCCCAGCACTCGGGAGGCAGAGGCAGGCAGATCTCTGTGAGTTCAAGGCCAGCCAGGTCTCCAGAGCGAGTGCCAGCATAGGCTCCAAAGCTACACAGAGAAACCCTGTCTTGGAAAAAAAAAACAATAAAAAAAAACAAGATATATAAGTTGCAGACTCTTTCCGCCATTCTGCAGGGTTGTCTTTTTGCTTCCTTATTTATGTCCTTGTTAGCAAAAGATAATCTTAATGTTGATGAAATCTAATATGTCTACTATTCATTTGTTACATTTGCTGCTGCTATTTCTTTCTTCTTCTTCTTCTTCTTCTTCTTCTTCTTCTTCTTCTTCTTCTTCTTCTTCTTCTTCTTCTTCTTCTTCTTCTTCTTCTTCCCCATTTTTGTGCTATTAGGGATTGAACCCAGGGTCTTGGGCACGGCAGACAATGTACCTGACCATTGATCTTCCAATTATCTTAGTGCTTACAATTGATATAGTCATTTTAAGAAATGACTGCTGCCTCATGTCTGTCAGTTAAGACCTACTGTAAATGCCTGAAATGCAATTTTCTTTTGAGTTGGTATACATGTGTGGAGGTGTGTGCTGGTTTGAATGAGAAGTGCCCCCTCCCATAGTCTCAGGCTTCCGAACACTTGATCCCAGTTGTTATCATTATTTAGGTGGCACAGCCTGCTGGAGGAAGTAAATCACTGGGGAGTAGGCTTTGAGAGGACAAGCCCTTTGCCACTTCCAGTTTGCTGTCTCTGCTTCGTGCTTGCTGTTAAGGATATGCACTCTCAGCTTC